ATGACATTACGAAGCTTAGGGAGCCATCTAATCAATTCCTGCAGAGTTTGATGACGAGGTCGAGCGGGGCAGGGAGTCGGGATCGCGTTACGTGTAACACAGACGAGCCCGGACCGAGACAACATCGGCTCAATTGGTCTTAATAGCTTGTGTGCTATTCCACCAGGTCAAACACATGTCCTGCAGAGGATAACAAATGGGAGGTACGGTTGGCAATTTACTTGCTGCTTTAAACCTGCACGAATTTGATCATTAAGCAACAGCGGAGGAGGCCGGCTCTGTTTTTGTGCACAAATCAGAACGCAGAATCAGGACCGCAAACACGCATGTAGTGCGTTTGCTTTATGACTTGCTTTGTTTGTGCATTCCTAAGTGTGTGTGTGTGTGAGAGAGTTCCTGTGATGACTAACTTGTTTGCCCTTTCATTACAGCGAGGATTAACCATCAGGGAGGCTAACAGCCCCCCCTCATCCCTCCCCATGAGCCAGACAGCAGTAAAACAAGGCAACGTCCTCAGAGACAAATGTTTTATTCAACCACGTCGAAGTTCATTTCCACTGCACCCCCCCTCTGTACCCCCCCCTCCTCCGCTGTTCATCCTTTTGTTGTTGAAGACGATCAATACTGAACAGAAAGGTGCGCAGCCGACGTCGAGTCTATTCGGGCGAACTGAGGAGAACTGTGACGAGCAGGAAAGAACACCGTTGAGTTGAGTTTTGAGGTGTCATAATTCTTGGATATCAGCTCCCTCTGCTGGCCCCACGCGACTTCTTTGAGGCTAAATAAAAAAAAGAAAGGGAAAGGAATTAATAGTTAAGTCATTCAAATTGCACCTTAATGCAGAGCGACATGAGAGTGGAGTAGAACATTTGATCCATGATCATCAAGTAGCAAACACTAAAACACAAATCAAAGGTCAAGGAGCTTCTATGTATATGTATTGTATTGTATATGTTTAGTTTTATATCAAAATTAAGGATTTACTCGGATTCAAATCCATTTTATGCCGTGAAAACGAAGGATTGTGACATGAGCTTTAGTCCATTTACACTTCTCAAAGAATCATCTGAATGGTGACATTCCTTATGTTGATTGGATGTGATCCACAGGAAGATAGAAGGCTCGTCCCTCCACATCACGACACGGGTAGAGAAACGTTAATATTGAGAAGGATGCAGCCAAAAGGAGGGCGTGGAGCATTTGTCTGTCTAGTATTTGAGCGGGCGGCGTGGAGATCAGCACTTAGATCTCCTGTGATCTAAAAACACACCTGGCAAAGCACTTGGAAGCACCAGCGTGGTGCTTCCCGCTGGTGTAGGTGTCTCCAGGGACGTCTTTTGCCGTGATGACACACACACACACACACACACACCCACACACAGACTCACAAACCACACTGTTGCTGCTGGTATTAAATCCAGCTGAAAGGGCCAAGTCAGAATTTGAATAATATTATTCTTGGGGAGCCGATGCGAGGCCAGTGGATACCACAACAGTTCCTCGTCCTTCCATCGATGCGTAAAACAGAACAGTGGCCGTATCAGCGATGGTGTGTGACGGCGAGCTGACGCGGATACAAATACTTTGAAATGCTAGTCGTACGCCAGTGTCACATGTGCTGAGCAACACATTCATTCATCCACCCAACTGTCAAAAAAAGAACGTGTTTTTAAGTCAGACTTAGCAGCTACACACGTATGTGTCTGTTACCATTGACTGCATCTACATGGGGTTTACACACAGTCGGCCTGCACACGGATATCACGCACCGACCTTCCCAGAGCTCTTATTACTAGAGCTTGTATATCACTCTGACGAAATATTTTAGTGAACATTTATCCTTCAATAGATGATAAATAATAGCCGACATTCTACGTTTGTTACTTTTGTAAGCTGGGGCTACTCGATGTTACCTTAACATCTCAAGCTGTCTCTAATGACCTTCTTGAAATGAATAACAAATGAAAAGTGGCCAGTAGTAGATGTTAAAAGGTTCTCACTCAAGACCTCACTGTTTATCAAACATTCCCAAGGCAATAAGATCTGCCTTTTTCCTGATAAGCATTACTTCAGTTAGTTTAGTTAAGCCATGACAAATAACGAAACCTATAAATCAAAAAAGAAAAAGAAAAAGAAGCTGGAGGTTTGGCAGATTTTTGTGCAGATTTTGAAAGGATAATGCAGATTAAAGTTGTATGAACAATCATTATTAAAAATAGAGGGTTGGTTAAGCCGTAGCATCAGCGGATGCAAACACCATTGTGATTCAATATTGATCTAGTGACACCGATGCATTTGGTGGTATATATAGGGAATGGAAATTATAGATTTGGTATCTAAATTGAGCTTTTCTTGTCTCTGTTATCGTATTCAGTATTGATGAAAGAAAAACCATCAACATCCAAACATTTTTATAATAATGTATAAATGTATTCATCCAAGGTTTTGTTGTCAGGGGTTGCGGGGATGGCAGGACTCAAACGCCGACGTCTTAAACAAAAAGACTTTCATAGTCAAAAAAAGGCAAAAGCAAAAGGCCAACGGCAAAAACACACAGGAACAGGAGGCAAACCGGCAGAAAAGAACTAACGAACATCCAGGACGATAGACAATGAATAAATACACTACACTTAAATACATTAGGGAGGTGCAGGTGATTGGACACAGGTGGAAACTATTAGACGATCACAGGGGATGACAGGACAAGGCAGGAAATGAAGTTACCCAGGGACACGAGTGGCAGAAAACTACAAAATAAGACAGGACGTGATTCACACCGTGACATTTGTGAACTCCAGTGAAGGTTTAACTTTTATAAAAACATCATTCAACTTTGAAGAAAATGATTTACACTGTCCAAGGAGGACTCTAAATCTGTGTAGAGATCATTTCATTGATGGTACTGTAGCTGCTACCGCTGCTGCCAGACTCGCTGTTCAGTTTCTTTGTGATTTATTGCATTCTGAGGGTCCTGATATCTCTCCGTTCACATTTTGATGGGAGTGATAAAACCAGGCAGTAAAGTAATGTCAGCTCTCTATAACCACAGGTGGCGTTACTCACAGGAGGGCTGCTTTGATGTCGTTCAGACGTTCGGAGAACAGGCGCTGGGATCCATGTTGCGACTGACGGGGCAGATAGACGGAAGAGGTAAAGTGCACATGGAGGCGACGCCGTACCTCCGTACCAGACACGATCAGCGCCGCAGATGTTCACATTACCGCTAAACGAGAAGTGATGGATGGGCTGTGTCTAGAATGTGGGTAAAGACACTCACAATGAATATATGGTTGATGGATTAAATAAAAAGCAAGTATGTGCACAAATATGAAAGTTACTCATCATGGGCCAAGCCGCTGCATTGTAGTAAGCTTTTGTTTTGCATCATGTCATATCATAAGGCATCTACAAAGGAACCTATGAACATTAGACATTAGCGGTTGTTATGGAGGGCTGCTCCTGTGTCTAACGGTTTGATTGTGAAGCCAGATGTTCCTAAGAGAAGAGCAGCACATCAACCTGACTGATGAAGAGGGAGAGGGAGTGTGAGTCTCGCCCGAAGGTCAGAGGTTTCTGGACTGACCGCTGTGAAGTCTCCCATGGCCTGGTGTTCACCAGGAGAGCTCATATAAACCCAGGTCTGCACACACTGATACCTCTGCTGCTCTGCTCTAAATGCATTAGCAGAAATAGACTTTGGTTTTGTCTCGTAGAATTTAAAATTTCATTTTTTCCCCCACATTTCGTTTTTTTTTGAGAATTGCTTTGAATGTGCTGGATATTCTGTTATGACAGCCTAGTCTGTAATATATTCACCCCTTACGTATTATCAAGAGAAGCGGATGAAATTACATTCACTTTTTTGTGTATTTGTGTTGTTGTGGACCTAAATTCTTTAATTGGTTGACTTCAGTAAAGAAACTCCCAAGCTGTGTAAATTGGCTTTACAACCATACTACAATAATATCTATATGTAATATCTAATATCTATATGAAACATATTGGGACGTATTTCTTAACTAGCAATTATCTCTGTGGACACTGGATGGCATTGTTGCTGTTCAAGAACCCTGCAATTTGCAGCTGTACTAAACATTTCCTCATCGTGATTGGATGGAGGCTGAAACTATGTTGTGCAGTGTTACGACGTACTGTTATATCATTTACATACTGAAATGTGTGCATTTAGGTATTTCATTCCAAATACGACAAAAAATTCCATTCGAATAGAAGAAGAGAAGTTGGCATTCTGTTGGAGAGAAGAGACTTTTCCATTCTAATAGCAGAGGTCCATCAAAGACCTCAGCTTGCACTCGTCAGACTCGGTTCATCTACTGGACCCGAGGGAGCATTATAAACAGTACTTAACCTCAATAAAACAACTGATTGGTAGAAATGATATCTTCCCACGAATCATCAATCCTCTCAAGGGAGCATTGAATTGACTTACAAGATATAATTTGCAACTCATAGGTTACTTTAAGCTGTTTACTATTTGACTCAAATCAAAGCAAAAAAAACCACGTGCTTACAATGTTTTTATAAGCTTGGGAGTTATTTAATCTTGACTCTTAACAGTTCTGTTTGCTCACTGTTCCATATGGGAACACAGTATCTGTTTGGGAACCACCATGGAAAAGCAGACCAACCCGATTATCCAGTCTGTCCCTGGCACACCCAGTACACCTGTATTCTGTCCCGGACACCAGATATCCTGGTTCACTGACTCACTGAAGATCCTCTTTGTCACTGCTCTGGACAGGATAGTTTAGAGTCCTTTTGCCAGCAGGTGAGATCAAGTATTGAACCTGAACAGCCATAGGAAACATTTGTTGATATTTTCTATTCAGCTGTTAATAAGTGTAGAACATCCAGCGTTTTCCTAGAATTTTCGTCCTAGCGCTGGTTCCCATCCAAGGAAGAAGTTCCACTTGGTTAAGAGTCGCTGCTTTCTTCTTGTCGGATTTATCAGTTTTAACAAGAATGACACACATGCAGGGTAAATCCCGGCTTTTTTTTCAAATCAATTTTAATACATAATGGCTGAAAAATTAAAAGAGAGAATATGCCTCAAAATAAGTTTTGGTTTGTGCTCAAAAGAAAAAAACTGATCTATTAAAAGATATATACATAAATACATGTATATAGATATATTAATAGTAGACGTGCATGTACTCCTATGTAAAGTGCATGATAACATGACATTAACCAGAGCTCCGTGGAATAAGAGATCCGTGCTGCTGATCCTGCAGAGGCAGTGGTTTCCCCTTGTTTGTGACCTCTGTCAGATGACAGCGAAGGTCTCCAATAAGCAGCAGTGTTGGTGAGTAGCACTCACTGAACTGTCTCTTACAGCAGTCCACTCCCATCCTTTTTGAAAGAAACAAGTGCCTCAAATACCAATTCTGGCTTTTCCCCCTAATTGTTTTCTTTGCTCTGCTGAATCCGTCTCCACCTTCGCCGTGTTTGACAGCAACAGAAAAAACAAAGCCATAACCTTCACTTTATTGGTACTTGAATCCAACGTTGCTCACCCCCAAAAGTTAAGTGGGACTTTTTGAAATAAGATGTTATTCAAAGTCATTGCACACACTTTTCAGAGGCAGCATCTCCAGGGTGGGCAGCAGCAGCAGCACAGCTGACGAAGTGGGTTCTTCTTCTTATATCTGGCAGCCGTCTTGAACTTCTCATTAGTTACGGCCACATAATCCTGTGTCCTTTCTACATTGGTCTGGATGTGCTCAATGTAGGCCCCTTGTTCCTCAACCAACATGAAAATGTCAAAGAACAGGTCCCTCAGCTCCTTCATGTTGTTCTCCAGACTCAACAGCTCCTGGTGGTGGAAAACGATACTGGAATTATTACGGTATATTACAGGAGCAGTGTTCGATTGGAGTTGAAGGGAAAGAGAACAAGGGGACGGCATCAGCACTGAAAACACAAATATCACAATTTAACTCTGGTGTGCTGGCTCACTTGGCTATTTGGATTTCAAAAGTGATTCGCCAAATTATAGATATGAATTATAGATTATCTGTAATCCCACAGTTTTTAAAACCAAGAGATTAGCATCGCATTTCGCAATTTAATTAATTTCCTTTACTCATTTGCATAAGATAAATATGCTCATATCTGAGAGACACGCAACATGTTATGATGGCTCTTTTCTGTCATGTGCAATGTGGTAGTGAAGGGAGGGGCAGCATTCATCATATCATGCAACTGAATAAATTCAATTTACAAGCAGAACAATCAAATCCAAAACAATAAAAAACACTCTTATTATCGTTCGGATTTTATTTAGCTTTAATGAGGTATTCACTTCCCAAAGGTAAAGCTTCCGAGTGAGAGAAAGCGATTTCAGGTAAACTACATCTAAACATGAGTAACCATTGTTGTTCGTCACTTTCCTCACCTTGTGTCGTTGTTCAATTTCCGATAGTTGGGACCGTGTGATTCTGGCATCGTTCAGCAAGTTCTCGTTGAAGACTTCCCATTTTCCCGAGTCCACCATTTCATTCACCTCATCCTCCGTCACATCCCTTCCAGATACCTCCAGCTGCCGCTGAATGAAGTCCTTACATCGCTCCTGCTTGATCAGCAGACCTTCATTATACAGCAGCATTACCTGGATGTCATAATAGAAACATTCAGAAGCTGTAAGATCCCTCGTTAAATCGTTTAATTACTATGTATGTACTTTTAACTAAAGTATTATTTTTCTCTGCCTCTGACCCGGCACGCTACAAATGACAGAATAGTAGATGTACAATTACACCTTTTCATTTGAAATGGGCACAATGACAGAAGTGATTTAAGCAAAAATTGAGCTTCACTCTAAGATTTGAATCCCATTTCCAACCACCTATAAACGTGCACTCAAGAATCCAAATACGAGGGTATCATGCAAAGTTTCCCAAAGCAGAGTGGGACGATCATTTGCACCTTTTGAAATTTGCTGAGAAGCGCTGCATGCTGGGAGCGTTGTATTCTGGTGGTAACAGACGTCGGCCCCAGCTGGTCCTCGGTCCTCTGCGCCTGTTTGGACAGCGCGTCCAAGCGGCGGTGGACGCTCTCGGCCTTGAGCTTGACGTCCCGGGTTACGCTGCTCTCTTTCTTCATCACGCTGAATCGACGCATGGTCGCCACCAACGATTTCTGCTGCTGGCCAAATTTAAGAACCTGTTTGTGGTTGAAAAAAGACAGATCGTTGTGGTTGGTTCTATTTCCGATTCACCAGATAAATAAATAAGTAATAAAAAATATAATCATGGAATAGCAATGCGACCCAGGTCGATGAATGTCTAACTAAAATGGAAGGAGTCTCTGTCTGTGTTACGTGTGTATGTATGTAGGTATGTATGTAGGAATGTGTGTATGCATGTGTGTATGTATGTTGTTTGAGGTTTTTTTAATTTATTAGCAAAAATAGACACAGTCGCTACCAACAGAATTACCTCTGTGTTGAGCACTGTGATATCATCTCTGATTTGCTGAGCCTCCGACATGAAGTTCTCAAAAATCGGCTCCTCCTCGAACACCACAGCCTGCGGCTCAGCGGCCGCCACAGAGTCGCCATTGACTCCCTCCGCCGAAGAAGAGCTGATCGACTCACTATCGTCCGCAGAAACGTTTGCAGCCCGCAGATGAAACTCCTCCAAGCGGTCTCTCATTGTGGGAGGAGGCTCATAGAAAAGGGGCTCTTCGGGAAAGAGCGTTATGATGGAAGGGGCAGTCTAAGTCGATAAGAAGACGCTGAAAAATAAGTCACGTAAAAAGTTGGGGATTTCGGTCAGTGAATTAGGTTGAAGATAGTGACAATCAGAATGGCAATCAAATGAAAAATCCCGGAGAAGATGGTTCAACCTGACCAAGATTCTGATCCAGAATCTGAGAATCCTTCTGACATAGAGGACTCGCAATAAGACAAGGACTGAGATTCCCCCCCTGAAAGCAGACTAAACAAGACAGTTAAACCAGTTGTTAGGTTAACTTATGATGAGCTAGGTGAAGCAAAAGACCAGCATCCAACAGCCAATCATTATTATACATGGAAGGAGGAATTGTAATAAAGATTGGAATGAACTAAACGCAAAGAAAACACTCAGCCACTCTTCCCACTTCCTGTAAAAAGAGTAATGTTAGGAATCTGCTGAGGACATCAGATAATTAGAAAGGGGGAGGGTGTGGCTCATGTAAAAAAAACATGTATACATCCAGTTTCAACCAATAGTTTGACTCAATAAATAAATAACGAAACAGTTAATTACAAGTTGAGGTACATATTTCATTTGTGTGATAAAATGTAATGTTCATTGCTAAGAATGTTAAAATGAACATTTCTACGAACTCGACCATCAAAACAGGCCTGCAACGTTTGTTATTTTAAAGGCTAATTTGACGGCTTACTTAAGTTATTACTGGGGTGTGTATGCGTCACTGTCACAATCACAAAAAGTGTGTGAAAGCAGAGGTATTTGGTCTAATGTTGCATTGTGTGACACAAAGTTAAGAATACGTTTATTATCCTGTTTTTATTTCAATACATTGTGCTAGATAAAGTGATACACTGGTATTTCATTTTAAGACGTTTCTGGGTGTATTTATTATTTCCAACGCTTATAAAGTGAAAACATCCGTTGAGATGGTACATTTGTCTGGCAGTCTGTTAAAATATATCAGTGAGTTTCTTTATTGATCCGAGAATACTAATATATATATATATATATATATATATATATATATAAGAGAAGTCTAGAGAAGACGGGCGACATTAAATGTGCCTCTGAGGTGAACTGTGTAACCTGGTTGGTTCAGTTGTGACCCTGATCAGGGTCTGTTTACACCATCACAAGTTCAACCATCCCGAGCCAGTGACGCAGATCCGCACGCCACTGAGCCCTCGCGTATATTTTTAACTGTATGAGAAACAGCTTCAGCAGAGATTTCCTCTGTGGCATCAATCAAATTGACTCAAGTTCATTTTCCCATGAGTTTCAACATGAGTTGCTTGTGTTCAACAACATGCTCAGCAGAGAGAATAAAAGCGTGTGTCGCAATTCAAATGTTGATATGTTCGGTAGTAGTGGCCATGATGAAGACTTTCATTAGTACATATTTCACTTTCAAGGCTGGAACTCCAGCTTGCTGAAGTCAACGGGGAATGTCGTGGCTTTTCTGAAGGCCTTTGACAACTGAGGTACAACTAAACCGCAAATGATTTCATTCAAATGGGCATATAAACAATGTCCTTAGCGACGCATGGATTTCTTTTTTTTTAGAGGCCCTGAACATAATCTGCTAGAAGCACAAGGCTGTGTGAGGGAAACAGTGTTTGGCTGCTGAGAAATGGAGCATTGGATTCAATTCCTGGATAGATTTCTCCCTCTCTCTCTCTCTCTCTCTCTCTCTCTCTCTCTCTCTCTCTCCCTCTCTCACCCCTACCTAGACTGCCAAGAAGAGCCGATTAAAAAATTGCTCAAAGGATTTGGGAGCACATTCTCATGTGTTTAGCTTAAAAAGCTGAAAGAAGTAGAGCAAGGTTCGTGAAGGAGTCCGGCCTCTCTGTCTGTGATTGAACGTTTTGTTCTCTCAAATGAGCCAACGTGTTCTCCCTGTTACCGACCTGCCACTGCGTCTGTGTTTCTAGGAGAAAATGATACGTTGTCAAGGTGTGGAATTCAAACAATTGCATAGTGAGCGCTTGTCTTTTAACTTTTAATTAATTCTGCTAGAAATATTACCAAAAGCTGCTCAAGGTTAACTTCTGTGTTTAAATCAATTACACTTCAAGAACAGACAGTAGTCCACAAAGCCACAGATAATGTGTAAATAGCATACAAAATATAGAAAAATGAACAAAACGGGAAAGGCTTTACGTTACATTCCTCACTGGCCCTGCTTGTATCGCAGCGTACCTTCACACACATTTGGAGTCTGAGGCTGAAGCTTTCAGACTGAAATGAGGATGTTACCTTAATGCTAGTATTCCATTATCGACTGTCCGCCAAGTTCTCCCATCCAGAGATGATCACAAAAGTAATCCAAAACAAAGTCAGAAGCTCTTTGAGGTCATCATGTAATGGTTAGATCACTCCTTCGCTCGAAGTTAAAGAGCTCTGGACCAGTTACACCAAGTAACAGGGAAAGTTTGGAGGTTTCGAGTCAAAATCGAGCACCTCCCCTCCTTTCGAAGACGGGCCAATGGGAGAGCAGCAGACTGAAGGCCATTCGCTTATCTAAAGAAATGAGAAGGTGACGTGATTAAGTAAATGAGGAGGGAGAGTCTGCACGGAGAGCACAGGGAGCTCGTGAACCCTCCCCTCGGGCTTATTCGGGAACGGGACAACAGAGCAGAGCAAATACAAGTGCATTGTGTGCATTGCTACGGACGGACAATGGGGATATCAGCCCGAGTGTCATTGAGGGTGTTCGGTTTCGGATCAACGACGTTAACGTCAGCGTGACGTGTCTGTGTTTTCTGGGTAAGCCCTCTTGGTCCGGGGACATTGTACTCTTTAGGCCCCGGTAGCTCTGCTGAGCACTTCTGACAGATTTCTACTGACAAGCTTTCCAAAGCCCATGCGCCTTCTCAGCGCGGGGGGGGGAACGCGGTGACTGCTCGCTGTACGCGGCAAAGAGCTGTTTGAAACTTTGGTGGGTAGTTGGTGAATTCCTGAGCCCCCCCCCCCCCTCCGCTCCAATAATCAGGTAAAACCTTTAGAATTAAAAGAAAAATGTTGCAGTCATGTTAGCGTGGTTGGCATGGAATGTTGTCTCCAAAAAAAAACTTTCACAGGTCCTGTTTTTCCAACTCAAAGAGGAGCATTTATACTCTTTATCTTAAGTTTGGAAATTACCTCAAGCTGGACTGATGAGGTCCCCTCTTAACAACAGCAATGCTTCTGGCAATACAAACTTACCAAGAGTTGCAACAGTAAAAACAAAAGAAAAGAACAGAAACAATTTGATGAGTGTGCAGAATCCTAAAGCTGTACCCCTGTTGTAACAGATGTCGCTCTGTGTACCTGGTGTGTGTTTTAACTGAGTCATGTATCCCTCATGGCGAGATATTATGACAACATGCCATAACCAGTTCCCCGAGTGACAGAATGCGCCATCGGCACGGCAGGAACAAGCTGCCTGCGCTGTGAGTTTTCTCGCATCCTGAAGCCCATCACGTTCCCGTTGATTCTCCACCCTGATTCTCTCGGTGATCTCGGACAACGGGTTGAATGCTCCTTTTTCTCGCAGCCTTCTGATCGCTATAGGAGCAAAGTTCATCTCTGCCCGTCTTAGCAGAGGTCTGCAACAGTCTAGCAGACCCTCGGGCGCGTCACTCACTGACTGCAAGATATAGGTGCCCCCCAACGTGCACCAAATGTGGGACTAACTGTCTTCGATGGAGTAAATTCATAAGACAAAACACGGAACTGTTAAATGTTAAGGGAGGAGAACCACAACACAGAGTTTAGCCCAGAGCCTACAGAGAGAAGTGGAGGTGGGTAAACTTTGTAACCAAGCCGTTTATTCACCTGCAATGTAGCTTATTTTTTCTAAATTTGAGAACATGGCCTACTAATATTCTATATGTATTGATCTACATTTTTGTAATGCTTTCTCCTCTGTTCTTAGATTTCTTGTGGGAAAAAAATGTAAAAACTCCCCAAACAATAGAATGCAGCAGAGGTGTTGACTAATAACATGACCCTGCCTTGTTGCGTGTGCAAAAGGATTAGCAAAGATATTCAATAATGTAATAATCATCGTAAAAAATAACACAAAGGAGCACTACACAGCTGATGTTAACTTTACATCCTTGTTTAGCTGAAACCTCAAAATACACCACTTTCGTTTGATTCGTTGAAAAAGAAGAAGCAGGTTTCCACCTCAGTCTCAGCTGCTTTAGAAGCTCGTTGTCAGTGTGCAGCTGTCAATGTGCGGGCTGAGCCAGTAATAACAGCCAGCAAAGTTATTAGAGTAAAATTACAAGAATTGGCACTTTCTAAAAGACTAACCTCCTGCCGGGAAAACTCTAAGAAGTATAAACACCCACATCAGAGAGAGAATTTGAAAGCAGATGTTTCGATAGCACACAGAAGCAGCCTGAGAACGACTGAAGCTGGAGCAAATCTATGCCAGCATTGATATGTCTGAGCACGAGCGGGGGCTATTTGACTGCCAGGGTATTGAGGGAAATAAAATGAATGGCAGTTGAATGCTAAATTTACAATATGAAGAAATGTTAAAAGCTGCACCACTTTAACATTTCGTCCATGTAATGTGAAGTGGCAGTGATCCGTCAACAAACAGTTCTTCTCAGACGCTTTGAGGGGTGTTAAAGCACCTTCAGGCTATTGTTAGTTCGTTCTCATCAGCATTGATTGAAGCCACAATGTGAAAATGAGTACAGCTACAGCATTTCCTTCTTAAGTTCAGGAGAAAACACAAAACACAAATGAATGCCAATATTCTCGCTTATTGCATGTTTGCATAGGCGATAGTCCGCTAAGGCAGTCTTTATATGTAACATTTGTCCGAATTGTTTGTTTTCCTGGGAACTACATAGAATGGTTGTGGTATTGGAGAAAAATACTTGTATTGATATTGTGATATTACTCTTAACATGTTCTGGATGTTTGAAGTTTGGCATCCCAATGCCACATATTTTTCGCAGTCATAGAAGAATCTTTATTACACCGTGTACACTGCATTTTAAAAACTAGTATGATTTAAAAATCAGTTTTACAGTGGAAAAGGAAGGAAAAGGACTAAAGAGAGATAAATGAGTGTGGAGAGAGACGGTCAGAGGGGCAAGGATAATGAGGTAAATATCATCGTCATTAAGCCAATCTGAAAAGATTGATGCCGAGGTTGATGACCTCGCTTGATAAAATGAGGCAATCAGAGATCTGCATGTTGGATGTTCGTACTGGGCACAGTGTGCAATTGTGCCTGGGGTCATTTCATTTATAATTTACAGTTGAGCAGCTTACGCTTAAATTTATTGCGCTATACGAACCCCCCGTGTTACACAAGGGCAACTAGTTTATTCAAACGGCTATTTTCAACCGTGATATTGATACCAAATTCCTGCTCACAACGCGGGGGGGCGGCAACACGACTACAAACTGGACGTAGGTCAGAACGATTATGAGCAAATGACTGTAAAGATAAACATGCACTTCATGGTAGAAGCTTTTTGTTTACTGACACTCGCTGGTGGGGGAATTTAATGATGTGTTACGGGCGGCTGTGTGGCCTAAGAGCAGAGGTCACGACGCGCTGCCATCCGCCACCAAGCACTGGCGACTAGTTGCCCCTAAACTCAATCATGAATCATAAAATAAAATCCCAGACATTAGGGTTCCCTATAATTATTTGTATTATCATTATGGGAGTGTTGAGACTAACAACTGCTGGTTTACCACACCTGCACCTAACTAATTATATTCCATTCAACACCCCTTTTAAATCAGTCCCTGCTTTGCTTTTGTTAAATGTCTGGAAAGAAAAGAAGCTGTTTTTTTATCCCCTCCTGGGAGACCGGATAAAGCTCCGCTCCACACAGTCCAGTGTGTGTGGCTTTGGACTCCCCTCCTGTCTAATAGCAAGCATGTCCACCCTGACTCCCCCTCTCGTGACCCGAGGCTGCTACATCACCTCCTGTCCACGTGTGGCAACGAGAGATAAGCAGGTATCAACGAACAGGATTCCTTACAAACTATTTATTTCTGTCAACTGATCTACATGTAGAGGGTGGTTTTCTACTTTCTAATACTTGTTTCAGACCAAGGCCAGTACACAGGGACAGCTTGTGTTGTGGGTTGTGTTAATTAACCCCTCCAAAGTGAATATTGGTGCTAAACTGCATCCTGCATTTTTTTAAACACAGGTCTACATCGAGACATTTTTTCCAAGCAACCTTACAACCTTGAAATACCACACCTGCACTCAAGACACGCAGGCTCCTTTCTGTTAAGCGCTCGGAGTGGAAGATAAATGTCTGCTAACCATTTTCACATAGAGCCTAGAAAACTCCTACTGCAGCCAGTGAGTTCTGCAGGACACAAGAATGACAGTAAACTAGGTGGCGCTGGATCCTGGATGGACTGGTGAGCGTTGTGTCCACCTGAAGAGAATAGCAAACACGTTTAGTCAGAACAAACAGACAGTGGAGGCCAGCCCTGTGGGGGTGTGCGAGTGTGTTGTCCCCCCTTGTAATACTCTGTCTCTTCCTGTTTGCTCCAATGGGGATTTTACAGGATGAATTAAGCAAACAGAAACGGGCCCATTTCTGTAACTAAACATTTATTCACCAGGCGATGGTGGAGCAAAGCCTTGATAAAACAAATTAACTGTTAAAGTATGTGCAAGGTGAATCTCTATTCTGGTGATTGCAGCAGTGAATGTTCACATGATTGCACAAAGGCTGTGCCCTCTATTGGAGCCTATGGGTTATACTTTCCTCCAATCAAGAACATACGGTTTCCTCATAGAACTTTGCATCAGTGCCAATCAGGCATTCTATTACAACTCATCTGCTCGCTCACAAATACTTTTCTTTTTGACGCTAAGCGGGCGGACACGGCCCCCTTTTTAACACTCATTTTAACTGCCTGCAATCTTCATCTTTGGATTGGCTGGATATCACGAGCAACACAGAGGCTATGTGGCGGTATGAAGCTGGTTTTAATTTGCCACTGAAGACTATTTCACTACATCTCAGAGGTGAATAATGTACTTTTTACTCAATAAATTGCCTTGCAGAAGGGTAAATCTAAGCTTCTGGAGTCTTTGAAGGCGTTGCTGCTCGCACTGAGCACAGCTAAAAGCAACGTGAGAACTCATTGTCTTGTCAGTGGGGCCTTGCTGCCCGCTGCTCCGAGGTGACTGTTGGGGGCTACCTTGAGATCTTTGAGGCCAATTTACATTTGATTCGGACATTTGGTGCATTGCCTTGTTCTTGTGCTTTCAGAATGGAGTGGCCTTGAAAGCCCAATCCAAGAAATATCTGGTGGGATGATCGTTAGTGCATCTCAGCCAGTCGTGAAGAGACCCTTTCCATTGTGCAAGGGGGAAGCGTCCACAGTGTTCAGGCGGGGGGAGTGTCGAGGAAATATGGTTGCATCTTGTGTGTCCCCCTG